AAACGGAACTGTCCGGTAAACCGTAGGCAGAGAGAGAGAAGAGGACAACAAACGAGGGGTTGTTGGAAACTGTTTCGTCGAAGTTTCACCGACTCATCAGGAGGCTAAACCCTCAACAGTCTGCAGAATCCCCTCACTAATTACACTGTAAATGATAATCTACCTTAACCAATATATATATATATATCATCATATATATATATATCGTCAATATATATATACATCGTCAAACAGAACTGCCCGGTAAACCGTCCGCAGAGAGGGAGAAGAGGACAACAAACGAGGGGCTTATGTATAATATTATATCTCTCTCTCTCTCTTTTTATATATAGTGTATGTATATAGGCAGCCAAAAACGAAAAATTTGGGAGAAAGACAAGACCACTAGTCCTAAATCTTAGAAAAAAGAAAAAGAAAAAAGGAAAGAATTACTAGGCCTATTGCAGATCCTAATGCCTGAGGGAGAAGAAGTGGAATGTCACACAATTCACCACATGGCATGTAATTGTTTCAGGAACCAGGTAAAAAAACAAGATGCAAAATGAAATGGAAAAAGGATAGGCGGAGTTGATGCTTTCCAAGAATAGGAAGTAGTCAGGACCATAAGGCAACTTTCAAACCACGTGTTAGTTCAAAGCTACTGTCTTCACCCAAATATAACGCCCGGTCATTATCGTCGTATTTGGGGCCATTTTCAGTCCAGATGCAACGATAATGATCGGGCGTTCTATTCGGGTGAAGACGCTAGTCAGGCTCTTACAGGTGTAAGCAGTAAGAGCAAACCGCATTGGGCCTGAGCCTGTAGTGGCCTGTGGAGGTCACTAATAAAAAAGGAACCGGCCCTATAACTGGGCCCAGTACAAAGAGGCTCACATGAATTAGTGTTTCAAGGGAAAAGAAAAGAAAGGTTGCTCAATTATTGGAGAATAAAGTTTGAGTACTACACACCCTGTTCCCGAGAATGAATGCCCGGACATAGTAGTGGTTTTCCGCCAGAGTCCTCAAAAAGGGAATAATGAAAAGTCCAGCTGCAGCGTACAACCCAAATTTTCTACCTATTTTCACAACCCCCAAAAAGAAGAAAAGAACAGGCCAAAAATTACCAAACGACATGCATGAATATCTATGAAGCCAACAAAAAAGGCATTCAACAACAACCACAACAACAAGATGATGATGATGATAAATTAATAAATGTAGCATAGACTCATACAACAAACTTTAGCCTTGCAAGACTTCTTCTCTGTCACATTTCCAAAGTAGAATTCCTTCTCAAGCATGTCAAGTGAGTGAGTGAGTGTGTGGGTAACCAACCACGTTTAACCACTAGTACATTTCCCAAAGATTTTTTTTTGTTTGGCTGCATGGTCAGCACCACAACCCCCAGGAGTCGGGGCCGTTGACGAGTTTCATCAATGGCCCCTGCCTGACCCCCAAAAGTTGTGGCGCTGGCCATGCTGCGTCGGGACATTTTGCCCGTGACATCTACTGGTGGTTTTACCAGTCTTTTGAGAAGTCTCTGCTCTACATTCCCCAAAGCAAACTCTCTCCTCAAGCAAGTTGAGTGAGTGACTACCGTTGTCGGCGCGAATACCCTTACAAGAGTATCCGCCCTGGTTTTTGCAATCGATAAAGGTAAGTTTGGTTTAAAAGTTAAGCATAGCATGCGAGGAGCGGCTGTGTCTGCGGATTACGCTGACGGGGTAGTTGACTATGCAGAGAGTGTGTGGGCGCACAGGCTTGAGGCGCGAGTGATTTTAACTGTTGATGGTTGAAGAACCGGCGTTGGTCGCCGACCAGATTTTTACTTCCGAAGTTCCGATTAAACTAGCATTAAAAAGATTATGTCTTTTGGTTGGTGCGTTTGGTTGTGACTTATGCATGCATGCGGAAGGACGGTATCGACGAACAGCGTGATTTTTGAAGACGTTCGGTAGATCTGCGCGTCGCACAGTATCTGTTTATTTAGGAGTCCGCTAGTACTAGGCACAGCCTTGGGCCTGGCACTATTGGTTACAGTATCAGACTTCTATTCGGGAGAGTGAGGGATCGAGATCGAGCGGCGATGACACAGGAATATCATAGTAGCGCGAAAGGACCGAGGGGTTGAGGGTTCGGGCGGGCTGTTCCCCTCGGTTTTGCCGCTAGTAGAGTCGGAACGCTACTAGCGGTGCCTTTTTCCTTCGCTCGACGTATTCTGATGATTAAAAGTTTCTGAATACTTTTATTATTTTATTGTTGTATTATTAATATTTTTGCTCCGACATTATTTGACTTAGACGAGACGCTGAATTTAGAGGCCGTCTAGGCGGTCGAGGATTTTGAGCAGGCGCCTCTTTTTTGTCTGACCTACGGGTTCCTGTGTGTTCGGAATGCCGACGAAAACTCTTACCGCCATGAAAACTTAGACTGAGGACGTCAGCGTGCGTAGGGTCCGTGGTCGTAGCTTCCCTTGCTTCCCACTTAGAGAGTGTCAATAGCTTAGAGTGGAAGGGAATCGGGGAACATTCTAAGCGGGTCTATGGAACTGCATCCTAGAAGTAGCAAGAGGGCACTGCGAGCACACAACCTCCCATCCACGATCTGTTGTGAGAGTTTTGAGGGCGAGCATGCCCTTGGGACCCGAGAAATGGTGAACCGTGTTTAGACGTTAGCCACAGGGTGTGCGGCTATCCACATGGAACCAGTCTCCACTTCAAACTTCAAAGCTCTCATTTGAATATATGTTATCTCTATACTACTAAAGGAAGAAGCGGTCCTCGCGTGGGGCCCAAGAGAAACCGGGCGCAGCCGCGCGGGACCGCTCTCGGGCAGTGGGCAAGGGGGAACCGACGGTGTGCGACCCTGGGGCCGAGATCGGAGCTCGATACAGGGAGGCCCGGAGCCGGGAAGTGCCCTCCGTCAAAACGGGCGACCGCCGGGCCAAGAAAGGAGGTAGATACATTCCCTGCATTTTTCTTTGTAAGCGGCCGGCGGCGTTTTTCCAGAAGGGTCCCGAGCGGGCTTCTCGGGATCGGAACCGATCGCGCGAAGGCCGCAGAATGCATTGCTGGTGTTTTTTTTTGTGTGTGTGACACCGGCCGCGTTTTTCCAGAAGGGTCGGGAGCCGGCTTCTTCGGATCGGAACCCATCGCGCGAAGGCGACAGAATGCATTGCTGGTTTTTTTTTTTTTTTTTGTGACATCGCGACTTCTTTTCTCGAGACGCGTGGGCGGTTGTGCTTCCTGTCTTCGGACACACGCAGCGTTGTGTGTGTGTGTGTGTGTGT